GTGTTGGATTTTATCAAATGCCTTCTCTGCATCTATAGAGAGGATCATATGGTTTTTATTTTTCAATTTATTGATGTGGTGTATCACATTTATTGTTTTGCGAATGTTGAACCATCCCTGCATGCCTGGGATGAATCCCACCTGGTCCGGGTGAATGATCTGCCTGATGTGTTGTTGGATCCTATTGGCTAGTATTTTATTAAGGATCTTTGCATCTATGTTCATCAAGGATATTGGTCTGTAGTTCTCTTTTTCTGTTGTTTCTCTCTCTGGCTTTGGTATTAAGGTGATATTAGCTTCATAGAAAGAGCTTGGGAGGATTGCCTCTTTTTCTATTGCTTGAAAAAGCTTGTGTAAGATTGGGGTAAGTTCCTCTTGAAATGTTTGGTAGAATTCAGCTGTGAAGCCATCTGGTCCAGGACTTTTCTTGGTTGGGAGGGCTTTAATTACTGATTCAATCTCAGTGCATGTTATTGGGCTGTTTAGATTGTTAATTGCTTCTTGATTCAATTTTGCTGGATTGTATGTGTTCAAGAATCTATCCATCTCCTCTAGGTTTTCTGATTTGTTTGCATATAGTTGCTTGTAATAGGTCCTGATGATTCTTTGTATTTCTGAGGTATCTGTTGTTATATCTCCTTTCTCATCTCTGATACTATTGATGCATATTTTCTCCCTCCTTTTTTTGATTAGTTGAGCTAGTGGAGAGTCTATTTTGTTGATTTTCTCAAAGAACCAGCTTTTTGATTGATTGATCTTATGTATAGTTCTCTTGGTCTCTATTTGGTTTATTTCCTCCCGTATTTTGACAATTTCGTTTTTCCTACTAATCTTGGGACTCCTTTGTTGTTGAGTTTCTAGTTCTTTCAGTTGTAAGGTTAGCTGATTTACTTGGTGCTTTTCTAGTTTCTTGACATAAGCACTGATTGAAATGAACTTTCCCCTCAGCACTGCCTTGATTGTGTCCCATAAGTTTTGATAAGTTGTGTCGATGCCTTCATTTGTTTCAAGCAATTTTTTAATTTCTCCTCTGATTTCCTCTCTAACCCATTGCTCATTTAGTAACATATTATTCAGTCTCCACATGTTTGTAATTCTTCCTTGGTGTTTCGACTGCTTGGTCTCAAGCTTCACTCCTTGGTGGTCTGAGAAGATGCATGGTATGATTTCAACTTTTTTAAATTTGCTGAGGCTTGTTTTATGGCCTATAACATGATCAATTCTGGAGAAAGTTCCATGCACTGATGAAAAAAATGTGTATTCTCTGTCTGTAGGATGAAAGGTTCGATAGATGTCAACTAAATCCATTTGCTCTAGAGTTTGGGTGAGTTCTATTGTTTCTTTGCTGAGTTTCTGGCTTTTTGATCTGTCCATTTGTGTTAATGGGGTATTCAGGTCTCCCACTATGATCGTATTGGAGTTTATTTCTCCCTTTAAGTCCGTTAATATTTGTTTCATGTAGCTAGATGCTTTGGCATTTGGAGCGTAAACATTTAGTATGCTGATCTCTTCTTGCTGAAGGCATCCTTTGATCATTATGTGGTATCCTTCTTCATCTCTTTTGACGCTCTTTACGTCAAAGTCCATGTCATCTGATATAAGAATGGCTACACCTGCTCGTCTTTCCTTACCATTTGCTTGGAATATCTTTTTCCATCCTTTCACTTTCAATTTTTTCTGATCTTTGTTGGTGAGATGTGTCTCCTGTAAGCAGCAGATAGTAGGGTTTTGTTTTTTGATCCAGTCCTCCAATCTATGGCGTTTGACTGATGAGTTTAAGCCGTTTACATTCAGCGTTATTATGGATAAGGGGCAGTTTGGTCCTGTCATTTTGGCAATGTGTTGTTCTATAATTGAGTCGTTTGTTAGCCTTTTAGTGGGATGTTCTCCACATTTGCCTTTGTTTCTGGTGGTTGTTATTTCTTTTTTCTTTCATGGGAACATCCTTGAATATCATTTGTAAGGCAGGTTTAGATGAGGCAAAATCTTGAAATTTTTCTTTGCTGTGGAAGAATTTTATTTCATTTTCAAAGACAAAGGAGAGCTTTGCAGGGTAAGTTATTCTGGGCTGAAAATTTTTCTCTTTTAGGATCTGGAATACGTCATTCCATTCTCTTCTGGCCTGTAGTGTTTCCTCTGAAAGGTCAGCTGTGAGTTTGATTGGAGCTCCCCTATAGGACACTTGATTTTTTTCCCGTGCCCATTTAAGGATTTTTTCTTTTTGTTCAACTGAAGAGAACTTGATTATCATGTGTCGCGGTGAAGTTCGGTTTTGGTCAACTCTGTTTGGAGTTCTGTATCCCTCCTGTATATAATTTTCCAATTCTTTGCTCAGATTAGGGAAGTTTTCCTTTATTATTTCACTGAATACTCCTCTAATGCCAACTTCTCTTTCTGCACCCTCTGGAACTCCCATAACTCTTATGTTGGACCTTTTAATCATATCTTTTAATTCTTGGATACTTTTTTTAGCTTGACCTAGCTCTGCTTCCAGCTTTTTGCTTGTTGCTTCATGGTGACAGGAAATATCTTCTAATTCTGATATTCTTTCTTCTGCTTCATTCATTCTGTTGTTGAGACTCTCCACTGTATTTTTAATTTGCTCTACTGTGTTCTTAATTTCTGATATATCAGCCTTAATTTGATGTATTACTGCTATTTCTTCTTTGAACTCTTGTTTGTACTTCTCATTGTAGACCATCAGCTTTGCAACGAGTTTTCTGAGTTCTTTGTCCCCCATTTTCTCAATGTCTTCCTCAGTTAACTCTGAGAGTGGGCGGAGCTTTTGCTCTTTTGTTGGAGAGTCTTCAGTAACATTCACAGTACTTTTGTCTTGTCTTTTACCTTTTGTAGTTGCCGCTCTGTTTGACGAAATCATCTCTATGGTATATTACCTACAGGTCTATAAGTTGATTTTTATGTTCAATCAGTGCCCCGGATTTGGGAAACACAGCTGTCCTGACAATTGCTTTGTCTGTGGTACTGATTTTGTAGGCAGCACTGAGCTTGTCGCCCGCTGCTGGCTGATAAGTCAGAGTACTTCCTGGGGGTATTTTGGGTGGAGGTGGCGGCGTGCCTTGTATGGGCTGTTTTCTCTGCGGCTGTGCAGTGCTCTAAGATGGCGGTATTTTTGTCCCCAGGTCAGTACTTGGGTGACTCAGCTGTTCTCCCTTCAGTGTAACACTGTCTGGTCCCGTGACACTGTTATCTGAGAGCTGCCGAATTAGCACATGAGCAGATTGCCACTCCTCCTCTTGCAGCTTATCAGTGTTTGGAGCACTTGCCACAGTGTCCAAGATGGCGCCCGTAGGGGCACCAGCAAAGGTCGGGAGGTGGGGGGGCTGTCCGCCGTCAGCTCCAGGGACCACACCAACCCTGCAGGGAGCGAAGCTGGCGTTTCCCTCCCCACGTAGATCAGTCCCGGGTAAACAGCCAGAAAGGAGCCACTGTGCGGCTCTGACAACTACTCGTTCTGTCTCTCCGCACAAGATGGCGCCCTGAGTCCCCTGCTCCCTCCGCCTATTGCTGGTTCCAGTCACTCAGCTTGATTGTCAGCGCCCAGACTATATTAACTTTCCTATTCCCCACGCGGACCCAGGCTCTCACCTGGCGGTCACAAGAGCTGTGTGGAGGCCGCTGCTGGATGTTTGGCTGGCGCTGGAAACGGATCGCTAGAGCCTGGATCACTGGGATCTGAGTTGCTACTCGCCAACTGCTGGTGGGTTCTTCGGTCCACTACAACACTGCTGTCTCGTTTCCGCAGCTTCCCTGTGTCCAGGGGAGTTCCAGGTGCCCCCTGCTTACTGCCTGAGCCCTATTTTTTCCCTGAAATCTACTTATTGTACCTCTCCTTGCCTAAAGACTCTCCATTCCACCAAACACGTCTGCACTCTACGCCGCCATCTTAGAAAAAAAAAAAAAATCTAGGACCCCATTTAGCCCTGTAGGTCCAGGGCTAGGTCCTGAGCCCTCTCTTATCTCAGTCGCTCACTCCCTGGGTGCCCCATCTCTGTTCCAAGTGGAACCACCTGCCCATTGTCTTTCTCTTGCACAGACATTTCCCATCAAGTCTCTGTCTAGTGGTCACCGCCAGCCCTGCAGTGTCACTCACTTCTCAATGACATCGCAGCTCCCACCGCTCCTGCATTTTTTGCCTGGGCAGCACCCCCTCGCATCTTCCCTCCTAGTTGCCCTTCTCCCACAGTGATGCCACCCCCACACCGTCATGGCCTGAAGCCCTGGGTGTCCTCCTCTCCTCCTCCTCTTTCCCTGGATGCAGTCCACAGGAAGTGCTGTGCATCCATCTGCAGAAGGATCCAGAACCTCATCTCTCCACTCTGCCCTCACCCACACCCATTACAGTGACTGGCATCCCTGTCTGGGCTTCACAGGAGCCTGTAGAGCTTTGTCTCCAGCCTCTCAGTCTCTCAGCCCCGTCCTCACGCAACAGCCAGGGTGGTCCCTGGACAGGAGAAGGTGCACGTCCCTCCTCTGCTTGGAACTGTCTCATGACTACCACCTCACTCAGAGCCAGGGCTGAGCCTTCCTGTGAGCTTGTGTCCTGCTGGATGGTGGTGCCGACCCAGCCTTCCTAATGGTTACTTGCTCTGTGTGCAGACTTGCTCCTGCCTAGGGCATTTGCACTGGCCGTCTCCTGCCTGCAGAGCATCTCCCCAGATACTTTTGCAGAAGACTCATTGTGTCCTTCCAACCTTCCTCAGGGTCACCTCCTCAGGGCAGTGCATGCTGACCATGATGGTGAGACAGTCAGCTGCCGACATGTAGGCTCCACTCAGGCCAGCTAAGGAGGGTGTGGTGAAGGAGTTACGAAACAAACTTTTGGATACCAGTTTCAGGGAACTTAATCTAGCTGTTAGATAAGTAACAGTTATTTAGGGTTTAGGTTGTTAGGCAGAAGCAGTTTAGCAGAGCTTGGCAGCTTAGTTTTTTACCAATCAGTGTACAAACAAACAACACTACAAACCAGTAATCATAAACTACTAGGTCTTAGTTAGTGGGTCCTGAGGAGGCTCTGAGAGGGGAAGGGACAATAAGGGACTCTGACTCCAGGGCTCAGCCCTGACCCTGCTGAAGGCTCTGTCCACTCTGCCCTCCTTACCCCATCTCAGGGTGAGGGGCTCAGGCAGCCCCTCGTGCTCCACGTGGCATGTGTATCTCTGCTCCTCTCCAGAAGGCACCAGCACAGCTGCCCACTTCTGGAAGATTCCATCGCCTGCAGGCCTGGTCTCCACCAGCTCTGTGTCCTGGATCAGGTCCTCCCCATCTCGCTGCCAGGTGAGTGTGATGTCCTTGGGGTAGAAGCTGAGGGCCCAGCACCTCAGGGTGGCCTTCTGGTCAGAGACTGGGTGGTGGGTCACCTGTGTTATGGGTGGTTCTGAGGGAATTTTTGGAAAATTCAGGCCTTTCATGTTTTTCATCAGACACCAAAGCTGCACTCAGTGACCATCCTGAGAGTGGACAGGAGGACTGGGTTGTAGGAAAGAGTGAAACCCCAACCTGGCTTGCATTAAGACAGTGGGATAATCTACAGTTTAGTAAGTTCTAGAATCAGCTACAGCCCAGGGTATGAGCCTCTGGAAGGACTCAGAGTGGAGGGAAGGTGTTTGGTCTTGTCCTGAGTGGAGGCTGAGAAACCCAGAAACCCTGGAGTGAAACCTCCCAGCGCATTGGCTTGAGGTCGAGGGTAGGCCTTTGTAGGGGTCACTGTTCACAGGGGCCTGCCAGAGTCTAGGTTACCAACAGGGTTATTTCCAGATTATTCTATGACCTCTTCTCCCCCAACCCAGGTCCCTCATTTACACTGGAGGAAGGGCAGGTCTCAGGCACTGGACCCAAACCCGGAAGGACATCCCCGCTATTGTCTTTGAGGAGAGGCAGATGCTTGCCTGGGTCCCATTTTCCTCCCCTCCTTGCTGTCCCAATCCAAGGGAAGGTGGGAGGGCAACCCCTCTGAGCCCAGCACACCCCTGCGCTGCAGAGTCTCCTGCCCCATCTCCAGGTATCTGCGCAGCCACTTCACCTTGTCCTCCAGGTAGGCCCAGTGGCGATGAGTGTAACCTGCCAACTGCCACTTGCGCTTACTGATCTGAGCCGCCATGTCGGCCGCGGTCCAGGTGCTCAGGTCCTCATTCAGGGTGAGGTAATCCATGCCATTGTAGGCATACTGCCGGTACCCGCGGAGCAGGCGCCCGTCCTCCCCGACCTCGCAGCCGTACATCCTCTGGATGGTGTGAGAGCCTGTCCCGCCCGCGGTCAGCCCTGGCCACGCAGCTCCGCCCCGCCCTCACCGACCCGCGGGGATTTCAGCTGAAACCGAAAGTGAAACCCGGGCGTGTCCCGCGGCTCCTCCCGCCGAGGGTCTCCGCGGGGCGCGCAGTCTCGGGGTGGGGGACCTCGGCCCCGGGGACCCGGAGCGCCCTGGGCGCACGTGGGGAGGGGTCGGGTCACTCACCGGCCTCGCTCTGGTTGTAGTAGCTGCGCAGGGTCTGAAGGTTCACGCGGTCAATCTGTGCCTGGTTCTTGTTGTGCTGTGTCTCCCAGTCCCAGTACTCCTGCTCCACCTGCTGCATCCACGGCACACTGGGTTCCCTCCTCGGGTTCTCGGCGTCGCTGTCGAAGCGCACGAACTGCGTGTCGTCCACATAGCCGACTTCGATGAAGCTGGGCTCCCGGAGTTCGGGCCGGGACACAGCGGTTTGGAAATATGTCAGAGAGTGGGAGCCTGGGGGAGAGAGGGGCTGAGACCCGGGCCGACCCCCGCCCGGAGCGGGACGCTGTGGCACAAGTTCCATGAGGCGGGAGGGGAAGAAAGGTGCCAGTGGTCCCAAGACAACAAATGGGTGGGGAGGGGTGTAACGTCAGGAGCTGCTCCCCGGCGTCTTGCGTTCCCCTCTGCACGGTCCCCTCGCTCCTGCCCCGCAGAGCCCGTCTCCCTCCCGACCCGCACTCACCCGCTCGGGTCTCGGTCAGGGCCAGGGCCCCCGCGAGCAGCAGGAGGAGGGTCCTGGGAGCCATGGATCCACCCTTGGGTTGGGGAGTCTATGTGCGGACTTTATAACCGGGATCTGGCGGCGCTGACTGGCTCTCCAGAAACGGAGCGTCCAATGGGAGCTTGCCCAGGTTGGGAGCAGGAAAGTGACTCCTCACTGCTGGGCTTTCCTTCTGCAGACCTCCCGCAGACTGAGACCCTGAGGACCACACTGGTACTGGAGACTGCCCTGACCACGTGCCCCATGCTTCCAAGGCTTGTGTGTTGTCCCCTCCCTGACGCCATGCTGGGCGCTGGCTGAGAGAATCCGGAGAGCCCTAGACTGGGCTTCACTCCCCTTTAACTTCCTTGACCCCTGGACTCTTCTAGAAGGAAATTCAGCTCCAGGGATCTTGATGAAAGAGCCCAAGTGAGCTAGGAAGCACAGGAAGAGACACAGGGTTTCCTCTATTTCCCTTCCTCCCACCTGTGTCTGAACCCCGGAGCGGGAGCACCCAGAGTCCCTGTCCTGCTTTTTCGCCCTGCTTTTTCTTAGCCCCAAGTGCAGTACAAACCTGACAGAGGTGCGTGTGGCCTGGCCACACCCTAGAGTGAGCAGCGTCCCAGACACGCTTCCACAGCCCCAGGTGCACTTTCCTAGGCATGGCACCCATCCTTTGGTATCCTCATCCTCATCCCCAGCCCTGAGCCTGTGTGCGTGAGTCCAGAGCACAGCCAGCATCATGTCCCTCCTTATCCACCAGGAATTGACCCAGGACCCCTGGGGATATGGAATTCCAGGATGTTACTGACCCCTGCACTGTACACACCTATGACAAAGTTAATAAATATGATTTGAGCAGTAACATACTAGCAACAGTAGGTGATAATAAAACATCCAGTTACAGCAATGCATTGTGTGGGAGCTTTGCGATTTCTGAATGTGTCATGGTGCTGTGTCCCTCTCCCTGTGACAGTGTGAGGGGCTGAAAAATCTCAGTGTGAGGATGGAGAAGGGTGGCTGCTGTGCAGAGACACCCTGAGGCATAGTTAGCTACTTAGTGTTTCCTCTAGAAGCTTCTACATATTTTAATCATGTCAAGATTGCCACTGTGTAATGCAGACAGTGAGTCCTTCACCTGTGTTCATGCGTTAGATGTTAGAGAACAATGAGGGATTGAGGGTGAGGAGACGGAAAGACTGCAATGTGACTGCAATAACTCAGGCTGGGCCAGCTGGAAGTCAGGAGCACAGAACCCACTTACAATGTTCCATGGACCAAGTACTTGGGCAATCAGCACTGCCTCCCAGATGCACAATAACAGGTGCTTGAATTTGGAGAGGTTTGCCACTCAAACTTGGGCACTGATTGATGGGATGATGGCATCCTAAGCAAACAGCTTAGCTCTGTTCGCTGCCGGGCAGTGATGAACTTGGTGCATGGAGCTGATAATCACATGCATGTGGACTGATGGTCAATAGCCAAAGTTTATTAACAGCGTCAGACAGAAGTTCACACAGGCATCAGGGTGGAGGGTTTAAGGAATTTATATTCCAATAGCAAGGGGGAGTTGACCTGAGACCTTGTGAGTTCTTGGCCTATTTATTCCTGTATCAACTGCCCCAGAGCCTTTCCCACAGGATTGCAACCAGCCCTGGCTCCACACTGGCAAGGTTTCCCAATGTCCCCTCCTACAAATCTAATAAATTGTCATCCTACAAAACTGCTTCCTAAACACCCTTATTTTCTGTTTTATTTAAAAGTCTCTTATTTGACACACACACACACACACAGACTCATCTGGTCTGCTGAAGAAGCACAGAGGGAGCACAGTCCAGGCCTGTGAAAGAGAAGGAGGGAGCAGAGCACCTGGCATCTTCTGCTCTCCCAGATGCATTAGTAGCACCAGGGCAGCCAGGAGTCATGCAGATGCTCAATCAGGGACCCTTGGATTGCAGGTGGCTGGCTTCTTGGTATGCCACAGTGACTAATGTGGCCTGCCTTTCATATAAATAAGACAAAATAAATAAATAGATCTTTAATTGACTGACTTTCGGCTACATCTCACTTTAGAGAAACATCTAAAGTTCATGAAAGCATTGGGAAAGGACCTAATAGGCAGGTCTCAATAGCCAGTATGTGAAAAATGCTTAAGTTCATCAGTCGTTAGGGAAATGCAAATCAAGTCAAGGTGATATCCGCTGATCCCTGTCAGAATGGCAGTTACAGAAGGAGAGTGACAAACACGTGATCCGTGCACAGGAACAGCCTGGTCCTTTAAAGGGCTCAGCAGACAGGATAGCCTAACCCAGAAGAACCCCCATCTCAGGGCCAACTAATTGCATAGGGGCCACTATAGGGTCAAACTGCCTGGCAGGGCTCTTCCTTTGGCATTTAACTGAGTCCAGGCTGAAAATGGACGTTCAGATAGAGTCTTGTGAAGAGTGATGAAATACACCCTGACTGACTATGGACATCTTTGTATCTTAAAGCCAAAGAACATGTTTATCGCCTTTGGTCACAGTAAAGTGCAATAATTCATCTGCTCGAAGCTGTGTTAGTTATTAGTTCCCAGAATGTAGCAACTGGAAACTCAGAAAACGTTTATTGTCTTCCACTGTTTTATATAAAAATGTTCATGTGTTTATTTTCATTTAGTTGACATGAACAGTGATAGAAGGAGTGAAAGGAGAGAGCTGTCCTCCTTCTGCTGCTCCTCTCCCTGACGCCCACAGCAGCTGGAGCTGGGCCAGGCAGGAGTCAGGTGCCCAGGACCCGGCCCAGGCCTCCCTGGTGGGGTGCAGGGATCCAAGTCCCCCAAGCCTTCCTCTGCCTCCTTCTAGGAGGAGGCACCAGCAGGAAGCTGGGTCCCAAGTGGAGCAGCCAGGAGGCAAATGGGGCTCCGAGGTGGGATGGGAACTTCTAAAAGTCGCACTCCCCCACTTCTGCTGCCCACTTGCCCCACCCCCCATCTCTGACATCAGGAAGCAGGTGAAGTTGACTGAGGCTTCTGCTCAGACTGTCCCAGGGAGCAGTGGAGCAGAGAGCCAGGGCGGCCCCATCTGAGGCTGGGCTGGACAAGCAGGACTGCCCTGTGGCGCCCTCTGGTGGTCAGTGGAAGAGGCCTCAGGGCTGTGTGTGTCAAGGCTTAAGTCCTGACTCAGAATCTATGCTAGTCCAGCATCACTTTCAGTTATAACTGGGACCTTAAGTCCGGTGCAGACACACCAGGAAGAAATTAAGCTTCATCTTCAAATATGAGGAACATCAAGGAGTTCACATACATGCTAAAACAAAACTCAAAATTAAATACTGTTTCTTAATTGTGTAAGCCAATTTTTAAAAGTTTAATTTATGTCTATTTGAAGTGGAGGCTTATGGAGAGACAAAGATCTTCCATCTACTGGTTTGCACTTCCATCACATGGCTGCACAGCTGAAGCTGAGCCATGTGAAGCCAGGAGATTCTTCCGGATCCGCAACATGTGCGCAGATGCAGATGGGCAACTGTGGCCATTTTAAGAGTGAACCAGCAGGTGGAATATCTCTCTTTCTCCCAGTCACTCTGACTTTAAAATAAATCTTTAAACATCTTAAAAACAGGACTGTCAGAGCCAGTGCTTTGGCACAGCAGGATCAACCATTACTTGAAACACTGGCATCCCATGATGGAGCCAGTGTGAGATTAGAATGCTCCACTTCTGATCAGTCCCTGCTTTGCACCAGGTAAAGCAACAGAAGATGGCCAAGTCCTTGGTCCCTGGTACCCATGTGGGAGATCTGGAAGAAGCTCCTGGCTCTTGGCTTTGTATCAACCCAGTTCTGCTCATGGCAGCTATTTGGGGGTGAACCAGCAGATGGAAGTTTTTTCTTAGGGATTTCCTGCCAGCAGGGCTCCAAAACCACGGAGGAGGTGAGGTGTAGAAACTTACATAGACTAAGAAAGAGGAAGGCATGGGGGCGGGGCATCTCCCGACAGTCCTTCCACCCAACAATGGCACTGTAATTGGTTAGAAGGCACTTCTATTTCTCTAGACTCTCCAATCACGTCACGGGTCGCATAGAGCACTCACGAATGGCAGGTTGGCAAGGAGTCATGTATACCAGGTAGACTTGGAGGTAATGTGGGCTGCACCTGACTCCTCACAGTTGTTTATCAAGGAAGTCACAGCACAGCTCGTCTAAGGACAGAGAAGAGAGACTGGGGTGCAATCCATCACCCTTGCCTATATGACCAGTGAAGAAGGTCAGGTTGAGGTCTTGATTAGCCAAAACCATTGTCAGGGTGTTCCCCTGGGGACAGGTGTGCTGCGTGCCTACGACCTCCCACATAGGCCAGGCAGGCAGAGATCCAGGGGCGATCTCCCACAAGATCTGGCTCTGTCTCCCACTACTTCTCCTTTTCTCTTTCTCCATACCCTGCCCTTCAAATGACAAAATAAATAAATCTTTTCAAAATTTCTGAAAAAAAATACTGAGAAAAGAGTTGTGATTTTAAAATAAGAAACCATGTGAAATGGGGCCAATCTTGCAGCAGATGCCCGCAGCCTTGATGAAGCTCACATGCCTTGGTTTGATTCATGCTGACCTTAAAGCTGAAAACATAATGCTGGTTGATCCCGTTTGTCAACCCTAGTAGTTAAAGTCATTGACTGGTTCTGCTAGTCAGGTTTCCAAAGCTGTGTGCCCAACCTGCTTATAGTCACATTCATACAGACAAGTGGTTAATTATGAAAACTATTTTACATTGCAGAGCTCTTACATTTAACATGTTGCACAGAGCTACAAATAATATTTATTTATTCATTTATTTATTTACAGGTTAAAAAATAAAAACCTGCCAAGGCTAGTTGTGGGCACTCGGGAGAGCAGGTGAGCCTCCAGCTGGGACACTGCATCCCACATGACAGATCCTGGATGGGAGCTGACTCGCCTCTGAATCCAACGTCCTGCTAACTTCCAGACTCATCTACAACCCAAATGAAGCAATTACCCAGGTAATATCATCTCCCATCCCATCAGAAGAAGTCTTTTCCAGTGAAAGCTG